ATCACCTAGTGTGACTCTATCCCTGATAGAAGGCAGTAAAATTTACATGCATTTATACTGAGTGAAAGTCACCAAGTGGTGCCACAAAACAGACACACAAACTCAAAACACAGACTCACACAAACAGTGAGCAACAACAGCAGTATTCAGAAATGCTAGAGCTTTCTCTGAAAGCTTTTGGAAGTATGGGTATCAGTTTGGGCAAGGGGTGATGTTGAGTTGTGAGAGACCCTGACACAAGGACTTGGAAAAGCAACAGACAGGGGAATGTAGGGATTCAAACAATAACCAAAGGCAAATGGAAAGAAAGAAACCAAAATAATCACCCCTGCATAAAGAGAGCCCTGACAAACCTGCTCACATCACCAATCTCCTGGACGTTTCCTACACAGGACATCCACCTCAGCCCAATTCTCTGTTTTGTGAACTACCTTGACCAGTCAAGCTCAGGTGAGACTATGCAGTCCGGAAGCTCTGCACAAGGTCAAAGGATGTGCTTTCTAGGGGAATTCACTGTAATTGGGAACTGATTTACCAATAAGTAAGTTTTTCAAACATTTATGAAACAGCAGCAAGGGAAAAAAGGAATTCCAAGTAAGAAAAGAAAAATGCCTGCCTGTTCACAAAAGCACAGTATCTTATTCAGAATTTAAATCTGTTTCCAGTTCTCTGTATCAAATTAGAGTGCATAACATTCCACCAGAACTTCTGCTATCCACCAGAATTAAAATTTGGACAGGTGAAAAACATGACTGAGAACCCCAGGTTTGGCACCTGTAAGTGAGAGTCTTGCACTGTAGGTCTTGTATTTGGGCAACACTGGCATTCATTAGAAATAACAATTACAATAGACAAAAGTATGAAACTAATAAACACAGATGATCCACAGCTTTGGAGGTGGGCGCAGAGGTTGCCCTGCCCTGCAGCTAATAAACTTTAGGAATATAAGATTTTTCTCACACTACTGAAGTGTCTTTTATCCAATTATTCAGAAGAATTTTTATTTCATTAAACATAAAAAAAATTATGTGTAAATACTTCTACTTAGCAATTCTAATACCTAAATATCACCCCTTGTTCAGCACACAAATTATCTACTCAGCCCAAATCAAAGTAGATACCTACAGAATATACAAGCTAGTTGCCAATGGCAAATCAGCTTTACCAACAGTAACAAAATGCACTGGAGTAAGAAAACTTGAAATACGTGTCATGAAGCTACATATTTACATCCTATTCCAATAAATGACAAAATTCACAGAAGCCTGAAGAAATAGCCCATCTGCCCATATTTTGTACCATTTATTTTTTTTCTAAAATAAACAGCATTCAACAAATCAAAGTCATAGGATGATGATGAATAATATCTAAAGCTTAGAGTGCCTCTCACCCTCACGGAACATGGCAAACACAACTGAAGTATTTGTGAGCTGAGTATTACCTACATTTGATTCTCTAAGTCCTGCCATTACTGTACATCAGCACTTCACTAACATCCCTCTGCACCACAGCCATTTGCCAAGCATCTTCAGGACAGCATGACTGGTTTGTTCCTTTCACCAGTATCCCATATTTCTCCTGCCCTGTGTTCTTGACAATGGAAAAGGACAAAAAAAATTACACCATTTCTCCCCTATATTTGGGGGGACTTCTCGTATAGCTGTTATTTCACTACTTCTGCCTTTTTCTGTTTGTTTGTTTTTAATTTACTTTTTACTCCTGCCTATTTCTGTCCAACTTAATTCTGTCCAAAAGCAAGAACGCAGCCCAAAGCAGCAGCCAAATTATAGCAGAGAGCACACAGGAGGTGCCACCTGGTATTATTCTTCGTGTGTCACCCCCGAGTGGAAGTCTTAAACAAACACCGGAAAACAAGCTGGAGGTTACATCCTTGCTCCCCGGCTTCAACTACTACAGGTAGGTAGGGCACACAAATTTAAACCAAGATCACAAGTTTAGCATTTTAAAAGACAAAAAGTAATTTTTGGAATTTGCATACTTAGTGTCTGATTTACCAAAGTTTGCAATACTGAGCGTCTAAATGATCCCCAATTAAACATTTGCAATTGATTTCTCAAAACTTTTAACACCATCTCATTTCATGGAGGAAAGTAATATCGTCACATAGCCTAAATATTTACTACAACTTTAATGGAAATCTTTCCCCGATTTTTTTTTTCCAAAATTAATGAAGAATGAATATTGACTGTACTTCAGGGTGTTTTCTTTTTCTAATAGAGAAATCCAGCTGTAAGCAATTGGAAACTACTCTGTAAAAATAGAAGTGTTCCTGTAGGAAGACAAATAATTGGTCATCAGTATATAATATTCTCTAAGAATGCAGACACAAACTGACATAGATATTGCTATATTTTGCTGATGCAGGCAATTTCTGCAGTACAATACAGGGGAACCCAGGGATCCAAAATATTCACTTCAGTTAGAATTCTTGTACATAGCACGAACAGAAAGAAAACACGTAAGTTAAACAAAACATCAGTACTCTGAAGAATGATAAATGAGAATGCAAGTTTGTATGGTGGTTTTTTTCTTCTAAATGAAATTACCAGAGCTGCAAATCAAATTTACTAAAATACCTAAAATATTAGTTATATTATTTGAGCACTCAGACTTCATACTTTTTTAATTAATACTTTCAGAAAGTTTCCTGAGGTTATGATAAAACTAATAATAGCTATCCTCATGTTTTTCTAGAGAAACGCCATAATCAAGAGTACCCAGTTTGCAATAACTCTATAACTTCTGTGTGCTTTCAAAGTGTCATATAATTACAGTTTAAGAACAGATAACCAGTTATAATACTTTCTTCATTTGACTTTGAATTATTTACCCTATTTGTAAAGCGTAAACAACTATAAGTATTATGAAGAATTATTTTACCATCTTTCCAGTAGCTCCTCTCTTCTTACACACTTCCATTAAAAAATATTTTTAAAAATACTACTATTTGCACTTCCTACTATGTTCTTTTTCATTTAAAAAGGCAAGAAAAATACTTTAATTCTCATTCTTGTGGTAATAAGTCATAAAAAATAAGCAAGTAATATTAAGCTTTTTGACTATTTGCCAAAGAAACTGGAATTCACATTTGACAACGGCATCTAGGATTTCTCCATAGAGAGAGACTCTTCATTATTGCTTCAGCTGCCAGTTTGAAACATCTAAATTCAACTGCAGACAACGCAGAACTATTTTACTTTCTTACACTATATGAGCACAACATTGCTCCTATGTGCAATAATCACAGAACACAGAATTCGGTGTCCTACAATGAAAGTTTTATCCATATGCTAGAGAATTTTGACTAAACAAAATGGTATTTAGAATGTATAAGCCAAGACTTAATAGCCAAAAGTTCAGAATTTCAGAACCCTTTTTGGAGTTGAGTAAAGGAATAAAATTTCATTAGCTTTAAAAAATTACCTTCTAACTCTGCAGAATTTTAAATGTGACATGGAGTTTATAGTACAATACAATAATTGAGAGGCATGCTGGAGGCATAAAACATTTAATAGATTGTACCGAGGCAGCTGCACACCAAATGGTAGACTATTTTTTTAAAACATGAGAAATATGACACCCGTACACCAAAAAGGACGTAGCTGCAGGTATCACTACCTCTGCTTTGCTATATCCAGAGAGAAAGTTTGCTATTCCTGAAGTTCAGCTGAATAAATTTTAGAGCCACACCACATTCATACGTGTTAAAGTCCAGGACCTGCCACAATTAACTCATGTGTCTATGCCTGTATTCCTCCTAACTTTGTTCCACTGTACTATCTATATAAATTCCAAGCTTTCTAACACATTGAGTTCTTTTAATTAACTTTACAGCTAACAGGTAATCTTTTGGCTATTAAAAACACAACTTTCCGATTAAAGATAAAGACCAGCCTGAACAAGTTAGATGCATATTGATGTCTTCAATACTTTCACTACTGTTAGTGTATGCATACAGAACATGTGGAAAAAAATATTTAAAAAATTTTTCCCTTTGGAGCATATTCAGTCTCATTAACTATAATAATCTTAGAGTCATAAATTTCCACTATTTGAAAACTGTCTCATCACAGCCTTCCAGTCCCAAGCATTTAATGAGCATTGACTATCATTACTTAATTTTTGAACCTGCACATCTCATTTTGCCCTTTATTCCATGTCAGCTTATCAGCATTAAGCAAATCACTATTGAAAAAGGTTTTATCAGTAACGAAAAAGTCAATGCAGAGAATGCCTCTGGCTTAAACATTTTAGACAACACAGTAACCAGAGCTTACAAAAGTCATAATTCTGAGAAAAATAACAGAATACTGAAAAATAGTAACAAACTTCCGCTGAACAGATTACACTTTCTTGATTTTGTGTATTTACTCACATGCTGTATATGAAAATAAGCAAAAATATCTATGCCATGTAACAAAATTTCAGTTTAACATATCTTCAGAAAAGCAGACCTGATTTTAAAACCTGAAATACCTACTCTGAGTTTACAGTTTGTTTATAATATTGCATTAAAAGATTTCTCATCTTCAATGTCATAAGTGGAACTTGTTTCTTGAAACTTTGTTTACATTTTAATTACTTATGTTTCTTTCCAGGTATCAAAATTCCTTGTTTAAATAAAGTGCTTTCACAAATGGTAGAACTTAGAGGAGGTTTAAGAGCAGAAGTCAGCTGTCTTCAGATATAATGACCTCAGTAAGTGTAGCTTCAACTTAAAAAAAATCCATAAATAGAACTGGTTTTAAAGAATATGTAGAGTAAGCTGCAAATAAAAACCCACTACTAAGGGGAACACAGATTGCTCGAAGTATAGTACCCATTAGGAAAAAAACAACTGTAAATAAAATTTCAATAGCAGTATAAGGTACTACCTGATCTAATAGTTCTCCCTTTCTCATTGGCTTCCATAGATTGTCACAAAGAAATAACCACAGGAAAGATTTCCTTACGCATCAGTTTTCTGCAGCATGACTTACCAACTTCGCTGCTTTTCCATAATCAATCCATCGGATGGTGGCAAAGTTTGTTGACTCCGCGCAGTTAAAACCGTGGTTAAATCCTGCATGGTATCCATATGGGAAAGTAATCATAAATTCTCCTGCCTCTTGTGTAACCTGTAGCATAAAAAATAAACAAACAAACAAAAAAGCAAACACAAAAAAACCTCAAAGTGAAGCACAGTACAAAAGTAGTTCTGCTACCAAGCAGTGAAAACTGCATTTGTCTTTGCAACTACCTAGAAAGAAAGAATTTTTTTCTCCTTGCACACAGTCGTGAGTTAACGCAAGCAGAATAGTACACTTCAGACAGACATTTACTATAAAATACATAGCTACATGTATTACTTTACAAATTTAGAAACTACTTTCAAAAAACTAATCTTGGAACACAGGTAGTAAAACCCGGAAAAGACAGCACAAAGAATACATCAGTCTTCCTGACTGAGAGGAAGCAGAGACAGGCTGGACTAAATTCTCCCAATTATCATCCCCAAATACTAATACCAATCAATTGTTGAAGAAATTACTCTGTCCAGCACCCTGAAGATGTTTCTCTGGAATGGCAGAGAACTTTTCCTGGAAAGCCTGCAGAGAGACCTTATTCTCACCCTTCTCTCCCCTACTCACCCATTTCAAAAACCCATAACTGAGGGTCTGATTTGCCTTTTAAGTCACTTACTATTGATGATCAAGTATAAAGGAGGAGAAACTCTAAGTTAATGAGCCTTAGCAGTTAAAGAAAACAATGTTGTTCATCCCAAAGCAAGACACTGGATATATTTATATCCTCTCAGGCAGTATCTTTAAAACATTTTGGACAGGAAAGAAGGAAGAATAATTAATGACAATTGCCCTGCACCCATTCTTGAGCCTCACAGCTACTAACACCAAGGGGATTTTTGCACTGGAAATGCCATGCAGAATGTCTCAACGTAATGGCATTAAAACATCACTTTAGCTATTACGTCAAACTTTTTAATCTGTCCCTGTCCTTCCCCTCTTTCTCTTAAAGTACAATTTATGAGAGCAAAACTCTGATGCTATTGACAACCAGAATTCTAAATACTTAAAGGACGAGCGGCCTGGAAGGAGATTCTCAGAGGAAAAATTTGACTACAGGTAAGCTCTGACATTGCTTTAGAGAATAAGCAAGGGTAATTCCAAAGGACTGATCTGTTCTTTATAAGTGCAGTAAAAAGAAAAAAAAAATAGAAAAAACAACTACTAAAAAATTACTGCCATAGCAATATTTTGTATAGCCAAAAAGAAACCAAATTCCTAGCAGTTATCAAAATGGGATATCATATAAAAGGATTCTAGAATAAATTAATAGAAAAATAGGCTAAGGTAAACAAATCACTGGTCAGGATATTCTCTTTCAAGAGAGAAATCTTATCTTCCTGTACATGGATGGACTGCTGCTCTTCTCTGGATGTGAAGAAAAGAAGAGACTGTACTTCTTGTCAGTCACTAATATTCTCTCTGCTCAGAGACAGCTTTAATCTCTGAAAGTCACACCACCAAAGACTGTATCGAGGATAGGCTAGTCAGACTACAAATCTGTTTTCTGAAGTATCTGAAAAGAGTTAATCAATAAACTAGAAGATCTGGAAGTAAAGAGTTAAAAGAGATTCCCCATATTCTGTTTGGTAAGCCTTTTGACACGAAACACATCAGACAGCAGGCTCACTGAAAGCAAACAGATCATTTAAATGAAGCAAATAATCTGAGCAATGACTGATGACCATTCAATAAGACGCATTTGCTGATTACAGGAAAATAAGGGGACTTCATAGAGATTAAAAAGGCTGTTTTCATTGTGCGACAAGGCTTTGCATAAGTAATACAGTAAGAAAAACTGTTAGGACAAATATGACTCTTTTTAGGGAAAGACATGAATTGAAATCGCAAAAAAGGAGAGTTAAATTTTAATCACCAAAATTAACACTCACAACTCGAAATACTTTTCTTATTAACATGCCAGGTCTTAAATCTCAGCCTTTTGTTGGCATAGTTGTCTTATATTCAGTTTCCACTTTTAGAATCCCCCTTTTCTCCTCCCTCAAAATTCTCATCTTACAGTTTTACAAATACTTTGTGTTTTTTTTTTCTTAATGCAAGGATAAATACACAGGGATAGCACTTCAAGATATATGTTTCTGACTGTATTGTAGGACGAAGGAAAGAGGAAAACAAGAAAAAACATATTTAGCTAACAAAGCTAAAGAATAAAATTGGACATTGCATTTTGCATTTGCACTTTGCAAGGTTAATTTTTTGTGGGTTCACATTTAGTGTGTACATGCAAAAGCACATACAGGTGCATATATTATAACTGCTACTGTAGGACTCAAACAATCGCTGTGGGAATGTTTAAGAAAGATTATTCTCAATTCTAACAATTGCGAAATTTATCTCAATACACCCTCCCACTGCTGACAGTTTAGCAGGTGTTCTATTGCAACAAGCAGCAGTTCAGCTGCCACCTGGTAGGCGTAGGCTGACTTATCAGCATGCAGCACATTTCCACTTCTATCACTTTGAGACATGAGAGATCACAGCCTGGTTCTCTCTATTCACTTTCTCACTGAATCCCATTAATTACAATTACACTTGGGTACAGCCTGCTTCCTCCCAAGACTAGGTGACAGAACCAAACTAAAATATTTAACTGTTTCTAGCAATTTTTTTAATTTTTTTTTTTCTAATTAGAATACAGGAATAATCAAGACACTGAAGTAAGAACATCAGCTCCCTTACCCACCTCAAATGTGTGGTACTGAAAATAAATATGCTAGCATTTTGCACTATGCTACTTTAAACACCAACCACTGAAAATTACACTGTTCACAAAGTAATGTTCTGTAAATCCAAAATGATAAATCTAGTTATAAAACCTTCCAGTTTGGAAGGTTTCATCTGACACTTCATAACAAAGCACAAGGCTATGAAAGAAATCAGTATTTACCTATAAATTACAAAAACGAACTCAGCAACTACATTTCCATATAATAATATATCATTCAGAAAACAAACTACTTAGATGAATATAATTTATTCAAAAAAGCTTGCTTTTCACAGCAGGCAGTATCATTCTAAACGCCTACATTTCTTCAATTTTATACATATATTGATTTAAGCATGAAAAATGAAGTGGTATTCCAAAACACATAACAAATCAGTGGCTTTATCCCACCTAAATGTCTACCTCACTCAGTTTCTTTTCCTTAACAGTAAAGCTGTATTTCTAACAAGGTTCTTCTTATCAAGTAACCTTCTAAAATTTGCTTCCACTCAGTTTTACTAAAAGCATGTCATATAATTGGCAGGATCAGTTATTGCTGTTCTACTAGTAGTAGTGCTAGGTAATTATTGTAGACACCGATTATTGAAGTGTAGACATTGATTACTGGTATGCAGATGCCTGCATAATTTATATTTTGCTGCAAAATACTATTTTCAGGAGAGACCAAGAACATCTCGAACTGTTGATAAATTTCTGTTGTAAAATCCATTTAAAGACATACTCTCTCTCCAATTATGTTTCCTTCTTCAACAACGGATTCATGTCACTGTTGTAAAATCCATTTAAAGACATACTCTTTCTCCAATTATATTTCTTTCTTCAACAATGGATTCATGTTCTTCGGATGGCAGTTCTTCAGCTACGAAGTGCAGTATGTCGTAATATTATCCTATAAATTCTTGAGGTTATAAGTTTCTGTATTCATTCACTTGAAGTATTTTGCTTGTTGCAATACTATATATTTTTCAACACGCTTGTGCTGTTTTAGCTGCGACAGAATTAAATTTCTTCATAGGAGCTTTATGGGGCTATGTTTTGGATTTGTGCTGCAAACAACGTTGGTAATACTGGTGTGTTTTAGTTCCTGCTGAGCAGTACTTAGACAGCGTCACCTTATCTGCTTCTCACACTGCCCTGACAGCAAGGAGGCTGGAGCTGAGGGAGTGGAGAGAGAAGGAAGGAGGGGAATGTTTGAAGTTCCCAAATAACCATTACGTGTGACGGAGCCCTGCTTTCCTGGAGATGGCTGAATCCCTGTCTGCCGATGGGAAGCAGCAAATTCCTTGCAATTTCTTTGCATGCACAGATTTTCCTTTACCTGTTAAACTGCCTTTTATCTTAAACCATGAGTTTTCTCACTTTTAACCTTCCAATTCACTCTCTCCCCTGCCTTTTATCTTAAACCATGAGTTTTCTCACTTTTAACCTTCCAATTCACTCCCGCATCACACAGGGAAGGGAGAGAGCGAGCAGCTGTGCGGGGCTCAGCTGCTTGCCAGGATTAAACCATGATAATAGTATACTTGAAAACATTCGCTTACATATTATTTCTATGGGCTACGTTTCATACTGTTACAAAAACATCAGCTAAAACAGATAGAAAGCACTGTGTTATCCTATATACTAGGCTGGGAAGCATGATAAGCTAAGTTTGCCTACATAAATCCACATGATAGCAATAAACAAACACAGCAAATGCTGAAACAGAAACCACAATAAAAAACAAGGAGTGTGGCAAGGACAATTTACAGACCTACAGTGCAGCAGGAACAGATTGAGAAAATGTATATATTGCCTGGTTCTTCTGAACACTTTAAAACAGTCTGCACAGTGGGAAACCAAGAATCATAACCCATTAATGATCAAAAGGCTTTTAAAAAACTCACTATAACATACAGATGTTCACACGGTGGACCTTTGAATGAAGCTCTATGCTTCTGAGTAGGCCTACAAAGCTCTTGAATTTAGAAATTTAGAATCTACACAGAATTCAGGATATAAGATATATCTATTTAAAGACAAAGCAATGCAGTAGGAATGCTTTTATTAGCTGGCAGCTATAGGAAGTTCGAAGTGGAAAACAAAGAACGTAGAAAATCTTGTAGACAAGAAGAAACTGAATACGTCAGATGTTTTTGGAAACAGCTATATCTTAAATTCATCCACAAAGAAGAAAGCCAGTTATTCTTCCTACTTTCTGTTTATATAACATTCTTATTAAGTGTCCAGTCTTCCACCACCTAGCAGCACAAAATAATCATTCAACTCCTTTTTAATATGCTACAGGTTTTAAAATACACTTTAAACTAAAAAACAGTGTGTTTGGTTTTATTCCACCTGAAACTTTTTAGGTCATAATACCGATAAAGGTACATTTAATTGCATAAGAAAATACAATATACAGATAATACAGATATGAAACATTTATTTTAAAATATTAGGTATATAACTTGCATTAACACAACTAGTTATTAAGTGTTTCAGTCAACAGAATATCACATGCAAGCTTGCATAGAAATAAAACAGAAACTTTTAGATAAAGATTATGATGGTTAGAACTGTTTTCTGCTAGAAAATTCCAAGCTAAACCATATAAAAGTCCTAATAGTACAAGCATTTGTTTTCATTTTTTCATGGAGTCAGTGCCTAGAAAAATTAAAATTCCTTTTTTGCCTCAACTTTACTATAAACAGTCCTTATAGTAAACACAATCTAAGTCAATGCATGAATGTGTAGTTTAAAAATAAGCACCAATGTACCTTGTCAAAAGGAATTCCATACTTCTTCAATATTGATGGAGAAATCAGAGTCATCTTGTGGCGAAGAAAAGCATCACATCCTTGAGAACTGCTTGGGAAGAACCCTAATAAGGCAAAAAAAAAATCTTTTATTTATCTTTTATTTAAAACAAGCAGGATTTTTTTGTAATATTTTACAATACATAATACTGTTCAAACTTTTTCTAGAATTTTCTGTCATGTCTTTGCTAGGTTCCAAGAGCTTTATATAAAAATCAAATGCCCCTCCTAAGTTTTTCAACTGATTGTCAGGGGCAGGGATGGGGGCAGATTGCAGGGGTTGGGGACTTTTAAAATATTTATTTAAATTTAAAATAAATTTGAATCTGTGAATTAAGGTGCACTTTTTTTAGCCTTTCGAGAAATATTTTATTATTTGGGGATTTATATTTTTTTCACTAACATTCATTCTGCAACCCCTGCACCCAGGAAAAATCAACTGTAGTATATAAATTTAAAAGGATTCCACAAGGACTAGGTTTACCTGGCACTTCCAGACCACCTATACAATAAACAAATACAACTTTGTATCTATAAAAGGCTAGAAAGTATGGCTACTTTCACAGAGGTATCTGGGATGACTGAAAACAGTTGGGGTTTTTTTGCTTCTTTATATCTTGTCTTGATTCCTATAAACAAAAACTGCTTTCCATGTTTGAACTTTCATGATTATTTTGTACCACCCCAAAAACTCTGCTTAGTCCATTAAAACATATAGGAAGAAAAGATTACTTTTATGTGTTTAAACTAGTGTAGCATAATTAGTTTGAGTCTACTGTAAAAAAATAAAAATTTATGAACACAAAATTGGGTAAAAAAAGATTCTCCAAAATCATTTTCATTTGCACTATAAATATAGGTAAAATTCATTATAATAAGAAAATCCAAATATAAAGCCATTTAAAAATTATGTCTTTTTTGGGATCAAGGAAGTCATACATAATCCTATTCTTCTATGCAGGAGAACTACGTAAGAAATAAGGACAGAAATGGAAGTGAAGCAACAGAAATAAAAAGAAGTATATTTCACTAATTATCTTGCACAGCAACTTGATACTGGAGAAGACAGAATGCTAGTTCTCCATGATGAAAAAATTCCCCTTAATAATGGCATTAATACTGATTCAGAAAAAACACTTGATTCATTTACACATAAAATGATATTTTATGCCTGCAGAACACGCAAAAAAAATATCTTTTAGAGAGGTTTGACAGATTATCTAGGATTATTCAAGGTTTAAACATTTGTCCTCAGCAATATTTTAACCAAGAGCACAACTCCATTGTTCTCAAAACTGAATTGTAACTGTTTTTCTGGAAAAGCCTGCTAGCTGCACCGAAGAAGTAAGAATAGGTCGCCTAAGAAAAGTACAGGAAAAACAATAACAAAAATGACTAGACAAATGATAGAAAAATGGGCACAAACCAGAACACAGGAAGTTCCATCTAAACATGAGGAGGAACTTCCTTACTTTGAGGGTGGCAGAGCACTGGAACAGGCTGACAGAAAGGTGGTGGAGTCTCCGTCATTCAAAACCCACCCGGACGTGTTCCTGTATAACCTGCATTTGGTGGACCTGTTCTGGCAGGGGGGCTGGACCAGATGATCCCCAGAATTCCCTTCCAACCCAGTATCATTCTGTGATTCTTTGTGAACACAGAATTAACCACAGGACATTCACATAGTAAAATGGCTTTCTGTCATCCTTTTACTTTGTTTGCACAAGTTGTTGTACGCAAGAGATTTGGGGTCAGCGTCTCTATGTCCAAGTGGCAACCAATGACACGTGGCATTCCTCAGGGGCCAGTTCTGGGACCAGTGCTGTTCAGTATCTTTGTCAGAGACAGAGACAGTGGGATTGAGTGCACCCTCAGCAAGTTTCCAGATGACACCAAGCTGTGTGATGCAGTCAACATGCTAGAGGGAAGAGATGCCATCCAGCAGAAGCTGGACAGGGCCTGTGTGAACCTCATGAAGTTCAGCCAGGCCAAGTGCAAGGTCCTGCACTTGGGTCACAGCAATCCCAAGCACAAATACAGACTGGGCAGAGAATGGATTGAGAACAGCCCTGAGAAGGAGGACTCGGGTAGTTGGTGGATGAGAAGCTCAACATGTACCAGCAGTGTGAGCTTGCCGCCCAGAAAGCATACTGCATCCTGTGCTGCATCAAAAGAAGTGTAGCCAGCAGGTCAAGGGAGGTGATTCTGCCCCTCTGCTCTGCTCTGGTGAGACCCCACCTGGAGTACTGCATCCAGCTTTGGTGTCCCCAACGAAAGAAGGATATGGACCTGTTGGAGTGAGTCCAGAGGAGAGCCACAAAAACAGAGCGCTGGAGCAGATCTACTACGCTAATAATAGCTATCCTCATGTTTTTCTAGAGAAACGCCATAATCAAGAGTACCCAGTTTGCAATAACTCTATAACTTCTGTGTGCTTTCAAAGTGTCATATAATTACAGTTTAAGAACAGATAACCAGTTATAATACTTTCTTCATTTGACTTTGAATTATTTACCCTATTTGTAAAGCGTAAACAACTATAAGTATTATGAAGAATTATTTTACCATCTTTCCAGTAGCTCCTCTCTTCTTACACACTTCCATTAAAAAATATTTTTAAAAATACTACTATTTGCACTTCCTACTATGTTCTTTTTCATTTAAAAAGGCAAGAAAAATACTTTAATTCTCATTCTTGTGGTAATAAGTCATAAAAAATAAGCAAGTAATATTAAGCTTTTTGACTATTTGCCAAAGAAACTGGAATTCACATTTGACAACGGCATCTAGGATTTCTCCATAGAGAGAGACTCTTCATTATTGCTTCAGCTGCCAGTTTGAAACATCTAAATTCAACTGCAGACAACGCAGAACTATTTTACTTTCTTACACTATATGAGCACAACATTGCTCCTATGTGCAATAATCACAGAACACAGAATTCGGTGTCCTACAATGAAAGTTTTATCCATATGCTAGAGAATTTTGACTAAACAAAATGGTATTTAGAATGTATAAGCCAAGACTTAATAGCCAAAAGTTCAGAATTTCAGAACCCTTTTTGGAGTTGAGTAAAGGAATAAAATTTCATTAGCTTTAAAAAATTACCTTCTAACTCTGCAGAATTTTAAATGTGACATGGAGTTTATAGTACAATACAATAATTGAGAGGCATGCTGGAGGCATAAAACATTTAATAGATTGTACCGAGGCAGCTGCACACCAAATGGTAGACTATTTTTTTAAAACATGAGAAATATGACACCCGTACACCAAAAAGGACGTAGCTGCAGGTATCACTACCTCTGCTTTGCTATATCCAGAGAGAAAGTTTGCTATTCCTGAAGTTCAGCTGAATAAATTTTAGAGCCACACCACATTCATACGTGTTAAAGTCCAGGACCTGCCACAATTAACTCATGTGTCTATGCCTGTATTCCTCCTAACTTTGTTCCACTGTACTATCTATATAAATTCCAAGCTTTCTAACACATTGAGTTCTTTTAATTAACTTTACAGCTAACAGGTAATCTTTTGGCTATTAAAAACACAACTTTCCGATTAAAGATAAAGACCAGCCTGAACAAGTTAGATGCATATTGATGTCTTCAATACTTTCACTACTGTTAGTGTATGCATACAGAACATGTGGAAAAAAATATTTAAAAAATTTTTCCCTTTGGAGCATATTCAGTCTCATTAACTATAATAATCTTAGAGTCATAAATTTCCACTATTTGAAAACTGTCTCATCACAGCCTTCCAGTCCCAAGCATTTAATGAGCATTGACTATCATTACTTAATTTTTGAACCTGCACATCTCATTTTGCCCTTTATTCCATGTCAGCTTATCAGCATTAAGCAAATCACTATTGAAAAAGGTTTTATCAGTAACGAAAAAGTCAATGCAGAGAATGCCTCTGGCTTAAACATTTTAGACAACACAGTAACCAGAGCTTACAAAAGTCATAATTCTGAGAAAAATAACAGAATACTGAAAAATAGTAACAAACTTCCGCTGAACAGATTACACTTTCTTGATTTTGTGTATTTACTCACATGCTGTATATGAAAATAAGCAAAAATATCTATGCCATGTAACAAAATTTCAGTTTAACATATCTTCAGAAAAGCAGACCTGATTTTAAAACCTGAAATACCTACTCTGAGTTTACAGTTTGTTTATAATATTGCATTAAAAGATTTCTCATCTTCAATGTCATAAGTGGAACTTGTTTCTTGAAACTTTGTTTACATTTTAATTACTTATGTTTCTTTCCAGGTATCAAAATTCCTTGTTTAAATAAAGTGCTTTCACAAATGGTAGAACTTAGAGGAGGTTTAAGAGCAGAAGTCAGCTGTCTTCAGATATAATGACCTCAGTAAGTGTAGCTTCAACTTAAAAAAAATCCATAAATAGAACTGGTTTTAAAGAATATGTAGAGTAAGCTGCAAATAAAAACCCACTACTAAGGGGAACACAGATTGCTCGAAGTATAGTACCCATTAGGAAAAAAACAACTGTAAATAAAATTTCAATAGCAGTATAAGGTACTACCTGATCTAATAGTTCTCCCTTTCTCATTGGCTTCCATAGATTGTCACAAAGAAATAACCACAGGAAAGATTTCCTTACGCATCAGTTTTCTGCAGCATGACTTACCAACTTCGCTGCTTTTCCATAATCAATCCATCGGATGGTGGCAAAGTTTGTTGACTCCGCGCAGTTAAAACCGTGGTTAAATCCTGCATGGTATCCATATGGGAAAGTAATCATAAATTCTCCTGCCTCTTGTGTAACCTGTAGCATAAAAAATAAACAAACAAACAAAAAAGCAAACACAAAAAAACCTCAAAGTGAAGCACAGTACAAAAGTAGTTCTGCTACCAAGCAGTGAAAACTGCATTTGTCTTTGCAACTACCTAGAAAGAAAGAATTTTTTTCTCCTTGCACACAGTCGTGAGTTAACGCAAGCAGAATAGTACACTTCAGACAGACATTTACTATAAAATACATAGCTACATGTATTACTTTACAAATTTAGAAACTACTTTCAAAAAACTAATCTTGGAACGCAGGTAGTAAAACCCGGAAAAGACAGCACAAAGAATACATCAGTCTTCCTGACTGAGAGGAAGCAGAGACAGGCTGGACTAAATTCTCCCAATTATCATCCCCAAATACTAATACCAATCAATTGTTGAAGAAATTACTCTGTCCAGCACCCTGAAGATGTTTCTCTGGAATGGCAGAGAACTTTTCCTGGAAAGCCTGCAGAGAGACCTTATTCTCACCCTTCTCTCCCCTACTCACCCATTTCAAAAACCCATAACTGAGGGTCTGATTTGCCTTTTAAGTCACTTACTATTGATGATCAAGTATAAAGGAGGAGAAACTCTAAGTTAATGAGCCTTAGCAGTTAAAGAAAACAATGTTGTTCATCCCAAAGCAAGACACTGGATATATTTATATCCTCTCAGGCAGTATCTTTAAAACATTTTGGACAGGAAAGAAGGAAGAATAATTAATGACAATTGCCCTGCACCCATTCTTGAGCCTCACAGCTACTAACACCAAGGGGATTTTTGCACTGGAAATGCCATGCAGAATGTCTCAACGTAATGGCATTAAAACATCACTTTAGCTATTACGTCAAACTTTTTAATCTGTCCCTGTCCTTCCCCTCTTTCTCTTAAAGTACAATTTATGAGAGCAAAACTCTGATGCTATTGACAACCAGAATTCTAAATACTTAAAGGACGAGCGGCCTGGAAGGAGATTCTCAGAGGAAAAATTTGACTACAGGTAAGCTCTGACATTGCTTTAGAGAATAAGCAAGGGTAATTCCAAAGGACTGATCTGTTCTTTATAAGTGCAGTAAAAATAAAAAAAAAATAGAAAAAACAACTACTAAAAAATTACTGCCATAGCAATATTTTGTATAGCCAAAAAGAAACCAAATTCCTAGCAGTTATCAAAATGGGATATCATATAAAAGGATTCTAGAATAAATTAATAGAAAAATAGGCTAAGGTAAACAAATCACTGGTCAGGATATTCTCTTTCAAGAGAGAAATCTTATCTTCCTGTACATGGATGGACTGCTGCTCTTCTCTGGATGTGAAGAAAAGAAGAGACTGTACTTCTTGTCAGTCACTAATATTCTCTCTGCTCAGAGACAGCTTTAATCTCTGAAAGTCACACCACCAAAGACTGTATCGAGGATAGGCTAGTCAGACTACAAATCTGTTTTCTGAAGTATCTGAAAAGAGTTAATCAATAAACTAGAAGATCTGGAAGTAAAGAGTTAAAAGAGATTCCCCATATTCTGTTTGGTAAGCCTTTTGACACGAAACACATCAGACAGCAGGCTCACTGAAAGCAAACAGATCATTTAAATGAAGCAAATAATCTGAGCAATGACTGATGACCATTCAATAAGACGCATTTGCTGATTACAGGAAAATAAGGGGACTTCATAGAGATTAAAAAGGCTGTTTTCATTGCGCGACAAGGCTTTGCATAAGTAATACAGTAAGAAAAACTGTTAGGACAAATATGACTCTTTTTAGGGAAAGACATGAATTGAAATCGCAAAAAAGGAGAGTTAAATTTTAATCACCAAAATTAACACTCACAACTCGAAATACTTTTCTTATTAACATGCCAGGTCTTAAATCTCAGCCTTTTGTTGGAATAGTTGTCTTATATTCAGTTTCCACTTTTAGAATCCCCCTTTTCTCCTCCCTCAAAATTCTCATCTTACAGTTTTACAAATACTTTGTGTTTTTTTTTTCTTAATGCAAGGATAAATACACAGGGATAGCACTTCAAGATATATGTTTCTGACTGTATTGTAGGACGAAGGAAAGAGGAAAACAAGAAAAAACATATTTAGCTAACAAAGCTAAAGAATAAAATTGGACATTGCATTTTGCATTTGCACTTTGCAAGGTTAATTTTTTGTGGGTTCACATTTAGTGTGTACATGCAAAAGCACATACAGGTGCATATATTATAACTGCTACTGTAGGACTCAAACAATCGCTGTGGGAATGTTTAAGAAAGATTATTCTCAATTCTAACAATTGCGAAATTTATCTCAATACACCCTCCCACTGCTGACAGTTTAGCAGGTGTTCTATTGCAACAAGCAGCAGTTCAGCTGCCACCTGGTAGGCGTAGGCTGACTTATCAGCATGCAGCACATTTCCACTTCTATCACTTTGAGACATGAGAGATCACAGCCTGGTTCTCTCTATTCACTTTCTCACTGAATCCCATTAATTACAATTACACTTGGGTACAGCCTGCTTCCTCCCAAGACTAGGTGACAGAACCAAACTAAAATATTTAACTGTTTCTAGCAATTTTTTTAATTTTTTTTTTTCTAATTAGAATACAGGAATAATCAAGACACTGAAGTAAGAACATCAGCTCCCTTACCCACCTCAAATGTGTGGTACTGAAAATAAATATGCTAGCATTTTGCACTATGCTACTTTAAACACCAACCACTGAAAATTACACTGTTCACAAAGTAATGTTCTGTAAATCCAAAATGATAAATCTAGTTATAAAACCTTCCAGTTTGGAAGGTTTCATCTGACACTTCATAACAAAGCACAAGGCTATGAAAGAAATCAGTATTTACCTATAAATTACAAAAACGAACTCAGCAACTACATTTCCATATAATAATATATCATTCAGAAAACAAACTACTTAGATGAATATAATTTATTCAAAAAAGCTTGCTTTTCACAGCAGGCAGTATCATTCTAAACGCCTACATTTCTTCAATTTTATACATATATTGATTTAAGCATGAAAAATGAAGTGGTATTCCAAAACACATAACAAATCAGTGGCTTTATCCCACCTAAATGTCTACCTCACTCAGTTTCTTTTCCTTAACAGTAAAGCTGTATTTCTAACAAGGTTCTTCTTATCAAGTAACCTTCTAAAATTTGCTTCCACTCAGTTTTACTAAAAGCATGTCATATAATTGGCAGGATCAGTTATTGCTGTTCTACTAGTAGTAGTGCTAGGTAATTATTGTAGACACCGATTATTGAAGTGTAGACATTGATTACTGGTATGCAGATGCCTGCATAATTTATATTTTGCTGCAAAATACTATTTTCAGGAGAGACCAAGAACATCTCGAACTGTTGATAAATTTCTGTTGTAAAATCCATTTAAAGACATACTCTCTCTCCAATTATGTTTCCTTCTTCAACAACGGATTCATGTCAGATGGCAGTTCTTCAGCTACGAAGTGCAGTATGTTGTAATATTATCCTATAAATTCTTGAGGTTATAAGTTTCTGTATTCATTCACTTGAAGTATTTTGCTTGTTGCAATACTATATATTTTTCAACACGCTTGTGCTGTTTTAGCTGCGACAGAATTAAATTTCTTCATAGGAGCTTTATGGGGCTATGTTTTGGATTTGTGCTGCAAACAACGTTGGTAATACTGGTGTGTTTTAGTTCCTGCTGAGCAGTACTTAGACAGCGTCACCTTATCTGCTTCTCACACTGCCCTGACAGCAAGGAGGCTGGAGCTGAGGGAGTGGAGAGAGAAGGAAGGAGGGGAATGTTTGAAGTTCCCAAATAACCATTACGTGTGACGGAGCCCTGCTTTCCTGGAGATGGCTGAATCCCTGTCTGCCGATGGGAAGCAGCAAATTCCTTGCAATTTCTTTGCATGCACAGATTTTCCTTTACCTGTTAAACTGCCTTTTATCTTAAACCATGAGTTTTCTCACTTTTAACCTTCCAATTCACTCCCGCATCACACAGGGAAGGGAGAGAGCGAGCAGCTGTGCGGGGCTCAGCTGCTTGCCAGGATTAAACCATGATAATAGTATACTTGAAAACATTCGCTTACATATTATTTCTATGGGCTACGTTTCATACTGTTACAAAAACATCAGCTAAAACAGATAGAAAGCACTGTGTTATCCTATATACTAGGCTGGGAAGCATGATAAGCTAAGTTTGCCTACATAAATCCACATGATAGCAATAAACAAACACAGCAAATGCTGAAACAGAAACCACAATAAAAAACAAGGAGTGTGGCAAGGACAATTTACAGACCTACAGTGCAGCAGGAACAGATTGAGAAAATGTATATATTGCCTGGTTCTTCTGAACACTTTAAAACAGTCTGCACAGTGGGAAACCAAGAATCATAACCCATTAATGATCAAAAGGCTTTTAAAAAACTCACTATAACATACAGATGTTCACACGGTGGACCTTTGAATGAAGCTCTATGCTTCTGAGTAGGCCTACAAAGCTCTTGAATTTAGAAATTTAGAATCTACACAGAATTCAGGATATAAGATATATCTATTTAAAGACAAAGCAATGCAGTAGGAATGCTTTTATTAGCTGGCAGCTATAGGAAGTTCGAAGTGGAAAACAAAGAACGTAGAAAATCTTGTAGACAAGAAGAAACTGAATACGTCAGATGTTTTTGGAAACAGCTATATCTTAAATTCATCCACAAAGAAGAAAGCCAGTTATTCTTCCTACTTTCTGTTTATATAACATTCTTATTAAGTGTCCAGTCTTCCACCACCTAGCAGCACAAAATAATCATTCAACTCCTTTTTAATATGCTACAGGTTTTAAAATACACTTTAAACTAAAAAACAGTGTGTTTGGTTTTATTCCACCTGAAACTTTTTAGGTCATAATACCGATAAAGGTACATTTAATTGCATAAGAAAATACAATATACAGATAATACAGATATGAAACATTTATTTTAAAATATTAGGTATATAACTTGCATTAACACAACTAGTTATTAAGTGTTTCAGTCAACAGAATATCACATGCAAGCTTGCATAGAAATAAAACAGAAACTTTTAGATAAAGATTATGATGGTTAGAACTGTTTTCTGCTAGAAAATTCCAAGCTAAACCATATAAAAGTCCTAATAGTACAAGCATTTGTTTTCATTTTTTCATGGAGTCAGTGCCTAGAAAAATTAAAATTCCTTTTTTGCCTCAACTTTACTATAAACAGTCCTTATAGTAAACACAATCTAAGTCAATGCATGAATGTGTAGTTTAAAAATAAGCACCAATGTACCTTGTCAAAAGGAATTCCATACTTCTTCAATATTGATGGAGAAATCAGAGTCATCTTGTGGCGAAGAAAAGCATCACATCCTTGAGAACTGCTTGGGAAGAACCCTAATAAGGCAAAAAAAAAATCTTTTATTTATCTTTTATTTAAAACAAGCAGGATTTTTTTGTAATATTTTACAATACATAATACTGTTCAAACTTTTTCTAGAATTTTCTGTCATGTCTTTGCTAGGTTCCAAGAGCTTTATATAAAAATCAAATGCCCCTCCTAAGTTTTTCAACTGATTGTCAGGGGCAGGGATGGGGGCAGATTGCAGGGGTTGGGGACTTTTAAAATATTTATTTAAATTTAAAATAAATTTGAATCTGTGAATTAAGGTGCACTTTTTTTAGCCTTTCGAGAAATATTTTATTATTTGGGGATTTATATTTTTTTCACTAACATTCATTCTGCAACCCCTGCACCCAGGAAAAATCAACTGTAGTATATAAATTTAAAAGGATTCCACAAGGACTAGGTTTACCTGGCACTTCCAGACCACCTATACAATAAACAAATACAACTTTGTATCTATAAAAGGCTAGAAAGTATGGCTACTTTCACAGAGGTATCTGGGATGACTGAAAACAGTTGGGGTTTTTTTGCTTCTTTATATCTTGTCTTGATTCCTATAAACAAAAACTGCTTTCCATGTTTGAACTTTCATGATTATTTTGTACCACCCCAAAAACTCTGCTTAGTCCATTAAAACATATAGGAAGAAAAGATTACTTTTATGTGTTTAAACTAGTGTAGCATAATTAGTTTGAGTCTACTGTAAAAAAATAAAAATTTATGAACACAAAATTGGGTAAAAAAAGATTCTCCAAAATCATTTTCATTTGCACTATAAATATAGGTAAAATTCATTATAATAAGAAAATCCAAATATAAAGCCATTTAAAAATTATGTCTTTTTTGGGATCAAGGAAGTCATACATAATCCTATTCTTCTATGCAGGAGAACTACGTAAGAAATAAGGACAGAAATGGAAGTGAAGCAACAGAAATAAAAAGAAGTATATTTCACTAATTATCTTGCACAGCAACTTGATACTGGAGAAGACAGAATGCTAGTTCTCCATGATGAAAAAATTCCCCTTAATAATGGCATTAATACTGATTCAGAAAAAACACTTGATTCATTTACACATAAAATGATATTTTATGCCTGCAGAACACGCAAAAAAAATATCTTTTAGAGAGGTTTGACAGATTATCTAGGATTATTCAAGGTTTAAACATTTGTCCTCAGCAATATTTTAACCAAGAGCACAACTCCATTGTTCTCAAAACTGAATTGTAACTGTTTTTCTGGAAAAGCCTGCTAGCTGCACCGAAGAAGTAAGAATAGGTCGCCTAAGAAAAGTACAGGAAAAACAATAACAAAAATGACTAGACAAATGATAGAAAAATGGGCACAAACCAGAACACAGGAAGTTCCATCTAAACATGAGGAGGAACTTCCTTACTTTGAGGGTGGCAGAGCACTGGAACAGGCTGACAGAAAGGTGGTGGAGTCTCCGTCATTCAAAACCCACCCGGACGTGTTCCTGTATAACCTGCATTTGGTGGACCTGTTCTGGCAGGGGGGCTGGACCAGATGATCCCCAGAATTCCCTTCCAACCCAGTATCATTCTGTGATTCTTTGTGAACACAGAATTAACCACAGGACATTCACATAGTAAAATGGCTTTCTGTCATCCTTTTACTTTGTTTGCACAAGTTGTTGTACGCAAGAGATTTGGGGTCAGCGTCTCTATGTCCAAGTGGCAACCAATGACACGTGGCATTCCTCAGGGGCCAGTTCTGGGACCAGTGCTGTTCAGTATCTTTGTCAGAGACAGAGACAGTGGGATTGAGTGCACCCTCAGCAAGTTTCCAGATGACACCAAGCTGTGTGATGCAGTCAACATGCTAGAGGGAAGAGATGCCATCCAGCAGAAGCTGGACAGGGCCTGTGTGAACCTCATGAAGTTCAGCCAGGCCAAGTGCAAGGTCCTGCACTTGGGTCACAGCAATCCCAAGCACAAATACAGACTGGGCAGAGAATGGATTGAGAACAGCCCTGAGAAGGAGGACTCGGGTAGTTGGTGGATGAGAAGCTCAACATGTACCAGCAGTGTGAGCTTGCCGCCCAGAAAGCATACTGCATCCTGTGCTGCATCAAAAGAAGTGTAGCCAGCAGGTCAAGGGAGGTGATTCTGCCCCTCTGCTCTGCTCTGGTGAGACCCCACCTGGAGTACTGCATCCAGCTTTGGTGTCCCCAACGAAAGAAGGATATGGACCTGTTGGAGTGAGTCCAGAGGAGAGCCACAAAAACAGAGCGCTGGAGCAGATCTACTACGAGACAGGCTGAGACAGTTGGGGTTGTTCAGCCTGGAGAAGAGAAGGCTCCAGGGAGATCTTACAGCAGCCTTCCAGTACCTAAAGTGGGCCTACAGGAAAGATAAAGAGGGATTTTTTACAAGGGCATATAGTGATAGGATGAGGGGTAATGGTTCCAAACTGGAAGAGGGCAGATTTAGACTAGACATTAGGAAAAAAATTTTCACTATGAGCGTGGTGAGGCACTGGAACAGGTTGCCCAGAGAAGCTGTGGATGCCCCATCCCCAGTAGTGGTCAAGACCAGGCTGGATGGGGCTTTAAGTAACCTGGTCTACGTGCAAAGTGCCCCTGGCCGGAGGGCTGCAACTAAATTATCTTTAAGGTCCTTTCTTACCTAAACCATTCTATAATTCTATACCTCTCACATCAATGTTAGTTTGTCATTCACAGAAGCAGTTTTATTCTTGGAGCAATGTGCTCACTACTTGATTTAAAAAAAAAAAAAAAAAAAAAAAAAAAAAAAAAAAAAAAAAAATCACTTTCAGTCAATTAACCGTCTAAATATTTTTAATGACTTCAGGAAAAAGTCACTTGTACTGATCAACTCTACTAAGATGCCCTGAGATCACAGTTCATTCAAATTTATGGTTCTTTCTTGTTTCTTCCCACCAACAGGCAAGGAATTCTTTACTCTCTCTTGGAATTGCAAATAATGTTATAATGTACATTTCAAAAAGTAGTACTTGGTATGTACAGTTTTATCATACACATTTGGCTTCACTGATTAAAAGACAGTTAAAAGAAACTAGCCCACTATTTCAACTATTTTGGCAAAATTAATGCCTATAACATAATGCTAACAATCATAACTTGGAATATACGGCTTATGAGCTTCAAGAAAACTCAGTCCTGAACAGCATAATAATAGAAATATAGTGGAACATACTGTTAAAAACGTGATTGAAAGTGATATTTGAGACTTAAAAAATAACCAGTATGAAAAGTAGCAAAAACCTTGATTTCTAAAAGCAGGCCAGGTTTGACTAAGCTATTTTCCCCAAGAAAACAAATTTTGTACCAGATTCAGCTACTGCAATCTGCTTAATTAGTTCAATAAATAATAATAAAAAGCAAACGATGGGCAGATATCCAAAACTTAAGTTGTACCACTACAGCTCCAAGAGATCAGAAACAGTTGTGACAACTCCAACCAGAAGGCAAGCTTGTTGCTGAATTTTAAGAAAGCTGCAAACAAAACAGAACAGCAGAACATAACATGCTCAAAATCTATTATGAGAAATTTACTGGAGAACATTTGCTATGGTTACAGAGCCCTCACAGTGAAATCAAAGCACAACCTACATGTTCTATACCACTATAAAATGTCTTTTGACTCTGTCAAAGTCTACACTTACACACACTCAAATTTTCCAGTCACATTCACTTCATTTTCTCAGAGCACTCCCCTTCAATGAACAAGGGAAGAAAGGAAGGTAGCATTTCCTCATTAGAAAACTGTTTATCAGAAGGTCTTTTGTTCTGCCCAGGGTAAAGGTGAGGTCACACAAGCTTTTATTTCAGGAAAGAAAATCCCTGTGGGAGAACTAGTTAGCAGGTGTTAAAAACCAATGAATAGAGGACATAGCATTAGAAACTTCACAAGACTCTTATAAATCATTAAATGCAGGCCAATTCGAGACACGCCTGCAACACACCAGAACCATTCTCAAATACCAATTTACAGGATTACCTGTTAATCCTGGATATTTAGTGAAATCCCACATCCAAATGAAAAAAATGCTGAAATTTATCTAAAAGGTAACTACCATTCACATTCTGTAGTACATTCATCCTTTTATGAGACACTTGAAATCTTCATTTAATTCATTAACACTAATCCATTAACTCTAAATCAGTTTTACACAAGCAGACATCTTGTGGGTATTTGCATGCAACCCGTTTCTGGGATGGTCTCTTGAGACATGGCAGACCTCTTCCACACCTCTTCTCAATACTTCTATTTAGCCACCTGTACCCTACCTAATCTTGGAAAAGGTTCCACAGAACACAAGAAGACAGTTCACAGCAATTACTTCACAGGGACCAATCAGGTGAAACAGAATCAGGTTGCTCATTGATTTACATCCATGAGAAAAAGATCACCCAGTTGAAAATTCTCCAACCCATGATTTAAAGAAATACTGACATACTCAACACCTGGAGCAGAATTAGAACAGTCTACAAGGTAAAGATGTGACTCAGCACTTGTGGCCAAATGTTTGAACATGAGCATTGCTATCCGGAAGGCTCTTTTTTCCTTTTTTCATCCTGACAGTATCATTCCAAGTATCACACACAGCTCACTATGAGATGACCACAACATATCACAACTATCACTCACACAAACTGAAGTGGATTGAGTTCCATTCCTTGGTTGATTAGCATTTTCACGGTATTTCGAACGCCCGTTTATGGTACCAAGAATGTGTCCATACTGTTTTTAATTAAACTGTTCAGCTACAATCTTACTTGGACAAATTACAACACTATTCCCAAAAAAGTAACTCTGCAAGTAACTCCATTTATTTGAATAGGGCAATTGGCTATGTATTACCTTGTATGATCAAGGGTTTCAGAATTCAGCCAATGATGAAGTCAGTATTTAAGCACACATACATAAAAATCGTATTTGTAGGGAACTTTCAATTCAAATTCTGACCAGTCAGGGAACGAGGCTAGACTTCCTACCTTTCTCTACACTTTCACATACAAGTCTTCACCTGAAATTTTATAGTAAAGGTGCTTTATTTCTAGTTTATTAATATGAATTGAAAATTTAAGTATAAAACTTGAGAAATATTTAAAACTTATAAGAAAGAGAACACCCTGAAATGGAAAATATCTTTAATGTAATTAAAAATAATCCCAATTAATGCAATTAAACTCAAAGTTACAGTAATTTTTTACTCACGTATGTCTTATGTATGTTTACTTATGTATGTCTCTTTAAAGGACTTAGGACATACAAAATATTAATCATAATTCACTCTTGGAACACAAGCAGAGATGAAAGAAGGATGGAGTTTTCTAGTCGTATTTATTTTTAGATTTTACTTTGGTAGGTATAAATACAAACGTCATATAATGTGTTTAAATTAATTTGCAATTATTTGAACTAATTTGATTTAACTTTCTGTATTGCACATAAAAGAAATTAGGAGGATGAGTTTGCATACCAACACTCCTCACAAAGAAGCGGTGGGAATTTGTATGCTATACAAAGCACATAGTATAAAAGCCACAAAAGAAGCAAGTGCTGTGAAATATGACTGTTGTTATTCCCAGATTAATATGTTACAGCTTTAAGTTTATTCTCTTAGATGCAACTTTCCTAACTTGACTCATATAACTATCAGTTGAGATAAAGTTCAATTCTTCAACTGCTCAAGTTTTCAGATTCAACTTAGAAGTTATGCAAATTCTACATCGAGTTTTATTTCACTATTTGCACTTGTTTTCATACATAATAGGTAATGATGTCTGCATAAAATGAATTAATTAATACTATACACCATAGAACGCTCTTTGTAACATCCCTACATACTTACAATATATTAAACTTTACTTTAGGTTCTTCTTTAACATAATTGAGCACCACAGATAGATGTCACCTCCTCTCTAAAAGTTTCTGCAATTAAATGATCTATTAAACGATCTTGAAAATCCTTCAAACTGTCATTTCTGATTCACCACTCTGCTTCTATTCTCTTCATTTTCTAACCCATTTCATGAAAGAAACAATTCTTAAGAATGCCATGGTATTACAAATTAACATAACAAGTATAAAAATGGCAGTTAACAGCTCACTTGAGATTTTTATTACATTTATGTCTACATAAAATTGAAAAAAACCTACATAAATGAGAAAACAGCTGAAGGGCAAAATCAAACTGTTGTCTTTATTAGATGCAAGTCTAATGTCTTTCAGATAAAATATTTGTAGGTGGAACAGTCAATCAAGCTTTCAATGAAAAGCAGAAATGAAGCAAAAATGGAAAACATCCTAACCTTCCTTTAATTTCATGTATCAACTGCTGCCTTGACTTAAACAACCTGTCGCATTTAATGCACTATTTCATTATTTTAATTATTTAGGAGCATTTGATTAATTCAGTGGGCATCTGCTCAGAGCTAACCTTCCCGAACAAAATACTTTTTTTTCTTCATAGATTGTATTCATGCAAAAATATGATTAAAAATATTTTAATATACATTTAGTTAAGCAGGTTAAGCATGATGGTCTAATTTACACTACATTTTATTAATGTTTACTATTAAGTGAATTGCAGCGATGAGCGTACTTTACATTTTCATCTTTTTAAGATATCTTACTGTAAAACTCGGACTGTATTTTAGCAGGCAGCAGTTGCAAATTAGAAGATCACAAAGGTTTTATCCCCCCACATGGAAATAATCAGAAATTGTAGTTTCCAAAAAAAAAAAAGAAAAAAAGTCTAAGTCAAACCAAGCATTAGGTCCATCACCTTTATTCTTAAGAACTACAGCATCATTTTCTACATTCTATTCTAAGCTGGGCCAAAAATATCATGAAAACAACCTAGTCACAGAAAAATATTGCAGAAGACATTAAATTCAAATACAAAAAAACTTCAGAAATGTCAGAGATGGTTGTCTGTGAAACTAACTCAGCTATCTTACATTGCTGTTACAATAAAAATCTCTGCACGAGTATACAGTTTCCCAGAGAAATCCAGTTTCATTCACTGAATATAATGGAATAAAACAACTATTTGAAATTTTCTCTTCACTGTTGAGTACCTGATTTCGTGTTTTATTTTCTATTTACTGTTCAAAATATGGGTCTGAAATTAAAATTATTAAGTTTGGTCATACACATGATTCACCAAGGAAAGTAGTTTTCCAGTCACCACACAGATCTTTGTCACTTGTACTAACAATTAACGGCACTAATAGACAATTGGATTCCTTACAGATGTGCACAGACCAAGGCTGAGTGACGTGCCTGGACAACTTCTTTTAATCTAGTGATCAGTAAAGATGAAGGAACTGGGTGCCTTTTCCCAGCTGTAGAAAAGCATGTACACATGGTGCCAGCAAACCTCAAGACAGATCCCTTTCTGTCCTAGCTTCTTTCAGCAGTTCTGGACCTAAGTACTGTTACATTAGGTGAGACTGAATAGACAATTGTCCAAATCTGACTCTGGTATTCAGACACTAAAACCCTGTTCAACCAGTATAACCTATTGGCTTCTGACAAACAGTGGTTTTGGAGATTTCCACTTCTCCACATGCTTTATGTCCCATTCCTTTTACTGTATTAGGCTACCATTATCAGCAATAAGAGGCCTGAGCACCTTCAGGACACAGTTTTCTAACATGGCACTTTCTTAAAGTATGCAAGTTTACATTCATCGACTTCAAAACCTCCAAAGTAGCAAAGCATGTATGTCCAAAAGTTACCTACCTTCTGAATTGTACAGGTTACCCTAATTTCCCCAGATATTGCAGTATGTCAAAGAACTTCAGGACACAGTTTTCTAACATGGCACTTTCTTAAAGTATGCAAGTTTACATTCATCGACTTCAAAACCTCCAAAGTAGCAAAGCATGTATGTCCAAAAGTTACCTACCTTCTGAATTGTACAGGTTACCCTAATTTCCCCAGATATTGCAGTATGTCAAAGAAAAATCTGAAGGGTTTTTGTTTTTTTTTTTGCCTGCAGCAAACAATACCATGCCTCAATGACACTTAATTTTTAGAAACTAGCGAACAAGTCTTGCTGAAACTGCCTATTCTCGTCCCTCACCAAAAGAAAGAAAAGAAAAAAAAGGTTGGATAGACACTCATTACAGAACATTTAAGCCCGAATAGCACTAAAATGCTACACAACTATAATCAATCAATATGAAATCTATAATATATGTCAGAGCAGCCATACTGCATGAAATGAAAAGTCTATCTACCCAAAGGTCTTGTTCTCCAGGAAGGAAAAAAAATAGTGATAACTTTCTCAAATGAAACTATGGGAAAATTTAGGAATAGTAAAAATAATTATCCAAGTTGACAGCTGTCTTTCTGAGATGTGTTTTTAAGACTGCCAGTTCACAGGTCTCTCCTCTCTATCAACTTCAGTGATACATTTTAAAATACAGTTTAAAAATAACTCAGAAAAATAGTCATGTAACTATAGGCACATAAAATTCATACAAAAAGAAAGTGTACAAAAAATTTCAGAATTTGGTCCTGATACAAGATACCTAATTATGAACTTTCAATAGCATTCCTTAAATAATATGGTTAATAGCAGGCTATAAAACATGGGCTGCCAGGCCAAGAAACTCTATCTAGAAGCAAAGAGAGAGGTGTAGTCTTATTGAAAATAAAACAAATTACTGTACAAGAAGAATTTTCCTATAGATCAATGATTTTTATCCCTTAGATCTCAATCATACAACAATAACCTCTGCTTCTTCTCAACAGACATTCGTCACACCTCAAGAGGGCAAAAGCCAGTACTTGAGGGTAAAGCCACGCTTTGGCCAAAGTGGATTTCTAGGTCTGCTCACTGGGCAACAGGCTGCTACCAAGTAAGATTCAGCACCGGTACATTTTACCTGCTTCACCCTTCCCAGAGGTACCAACCAGGGTTCTGTCCTGTACCCACCCACTAACTTTCACGCAATTTCCAGAGACTCAGCTGTCTTCAATATTTCTGTCTTTGTATCAAATTTGGCTAAGAAGTTAAAATTTAAGAGGTACTGATGAAAAGAAGCTACGAGAAGAAAAAGCAATGGCACAGAGGATACAAAGATACTAGCAAAGAATATCTAATGAACAAAAAGCAACAAAACACTAAGCTTCACTTTCATAAGCTTCATCAAGCTAAAACCACCAATATCAAATAAAGTTCTAAGACAAAAAAAAATTATTTTGTTTCTTAAGTATTCCTCAGAGTACTAGAAAGTGTTCCTTGTTTGCAATCACACCATACAGAGATAAAAGTCACACAACATTAAGTAATAAAACACAGCAAGTAAGTCAAGGACAATGTTTTTCACTTTGCTGGAGGTTTGTCCTTCAAACATCTTACATATGGAAATATTGAAAATACTACCTTGAGCTAGTCTTTCAAGCCGTTTCCCATGCTCTGGAGGGATAGCATACCTAAAATTCACATAAAGAAAAGGATGAAATGCTTAAAGATACAATTATGACACAAGTCATGATTCACTTATGATAAATATCTGAAAACACAGAAGCCAAAAAAATTAAAGACTGAAAAATTATACAGGAAAAAATATACCAATCGCTGAGGAAGAAATACAGGGAGGTTTTTTTGGAGAAAACATTTTTGCTTATTTCTAGTTTAAACACTATAATGTGGTTCAATAATGTTACAGTCACAATTTAAAATCGTGCATATTGACAATATTTGATTATGATCACACCATTCCAGTTAAAAAAACCCACACATATACTTTCATTTACGCAAACCAAAATGAAACAAAACCACATAAAATAAGTCTAACTTATACAGGTTTAACTTATTTGAATTATACTGTGCTTCACAGAAGTTCAACAGAAAAACAGGAGTATTAAGCATCTGTATTTTTTTCTATAGCCAATACTGTGGAATAAGAAGGTTACTTGTCTCTGTAAAATCATTACAATTAGAGTTAAAAAATTACTTAGGATTCTTTAAATTAAAGAATTGTACCTAACTTGGTCTGTAAAATCATTACAATTAGAGTTAAAAATTACTTAGGAAAAATACTTCCTTTAAATTAAATAATTGTACCTAACTTGTAATCTCTCTGTTCTTACTATAAGTTATTTTTTAAAGAGTACACATGCTATCTGCAACAATTCAGTAACACTATAAAAGAACTGGAATTAACCTGATGTTATTTTTAATGTTTATTACAGCTAAAAATTGAAAACTACTGAAAAGCTGTCATTTCATTCTGGTTTACTGAACAATACTACTCACATATTTACTGCACTTCATAGACACACTGTATAAAAAGTTAGGCTTTATTATTGACTTTAACTGGTTCAATATGTGATAAAATAAGCTTTTGTTTCAGTTAAATGTTGCAACAGCATTGGATTGATTCTTCTCTATAGAAAACAGGGTTCAGCAAAGGAGAAAATGCATATTCAGCTGTACAACAAAGTCCAAAACCCATTTTCAAACTTTTTGCTACACTGCAAAGAGATTTCATTCATCTCCCTGGACAACTCACTCAGAAAAAACAAGTGAAGGACTCTAGGCCCCTTATAAATATCCCCCTACCTCAAGCTCTCATTCGTTACAACAACAACAATTTTACTCTATTACAACTAGAAGTGCTGCACAGCAGCAAGATGACCCTTTCACCACAGAAGTCAGTGCTCTAAGTCAAACTGTAGCAAAATCCATGCCTACTGACAACCCACTTCAAATGGTACTAAACAAAGAGAGACCTTCAGCTCGACTCTGTTCAGTGTTTCCAGTTTTAATCAGAATTTCACTGTCTTAGAAAAATGGATTTTGTTTCTCTCCATTTGTACTTTCAAAGCATTTGTGCCTGCTGTCCACTCCATATTACACATGCATCAGCACATACACAGTAATCTTAACTATATGCTTTCACATTCCAGCGAAGACAAATGTTATGTCTAGCATTATATACTGTACATCACTAAATACACAACTCCATGAAGTAAAACATGAACAGGCAATGTTTATGTCAAAGAAAAAATTCAAACTGAAGACCTTCTTTGCTTTACTGGTCTCTAATTGGACTAGTGTTCTTCCAAAAATTCATGCTACCTTCTGTGATGATACGCAGCCACATGCTTCAATTTGTACACGTAAACATGTTAAGTACTTATAAATATCACAAAAATGGAAAACTGGATAAGTGAGCTCTCAATAACTCTCTTGGAAAGATAAAACAGGACACGAGTTAAGTGGGCTACAGCTATCTATTCAGCTAATCTAAAATTACCAAGAAATAATTCATTCAATGCAAGTTGGTGTTTTTCAGTCTTTATTTGTGGTCTGTGATAACATGTACCCTTCAATCCTTCTCTTCTTCCCACTGCTGCCATTGCTTTCTTCTCACAGCTAAGAAAAGGATCAAGGAAAGGAGACCATATTTGTAGTATCAGACTGTACGAGCCCCAGAGTAACTCTCCAGGCCCTTTATGGATGGCTCTTAATGCAATTTATTAGAAAACTGAGGGGTTTTAGCACATAGGCACCTGCCATGGATATCAGTAAATTAGTTTACATCAATCTCCCTGGACCCTTCATCTACTGTACAGAACATTAAACAAAAAATTCCCAAACTCAGATCAGTGAGTCAGAGAAAGAAATACTCACTCTCAGTCTCAACAGTTAGCTCATATGAGAACTTCAGCAGTGTCAAAAGCTTTTAGAAAAATATTTTTTATCATCTTGTGTCCAGCCTCCTTTTACCTACACTACTAAACAGCCACTAATGTTTGTCTGACATCTTGTATCTTAAGGCCAAGTCCAGCCCTCTTTAAAAGTAAATGTAATGAATGTTAAATCACTAAGAGGCAAAGAGAATGTTTCTTGGGTAACAAGCAAAGAAACAGATAAAAAGGAAAGAACAGATATAAAGGGAAATGTTGATGCTAATCTTAAGGCCAAGTCCAGCCCTCTTTAAAAGTAAATGTAATGAATGTTAAATCACTAAGAGGCAAAGAGAATGTTTCTTGGGTAACAAGCAAAGAAACAGATAAAAAGGAAAGAACAGATATAAAGGGAAACGTTGATGCTAAATACATTTTCATTTAACTAGTTCAGGAAGACATACACGTTAAAAATTTTGAAAAGACAGATAAAAGCTGAAGAGCCACTGTTCATTGCTAGAGTCAGGCTACAAAGATAGAAAAAAGATAGATACATTTGTTGAGAATTCTTCAAAAAAGACCTTTTGAAATACATATTAATTGAGCAAATCAAGGGTACTGGCAACAAGATAACAACAAATAAGTAATAAATATTAAATCTAAGCCATTTTTTTTTAATTTGTTTCTGAAACTTTTTTATATATGTTACATGATTAATTCTTCTAAATGATTCTCAGATTACTTTAAATAAGCTAACAACTTCTCTCTTTTTTTTTTTTAAATAAGAATCTCAGTCTTGGGCAATAACATCCACTGCTAATTCATGAACTAGTGGCAATATACACTCCCTGTTCTACCTATATTCTTCCAATCACCAGCAGAGGCAGTAACAGACAGTAGTCCAAGAGCTGTGATTACTTGGTCCTGTCTTTAGCTCAGAAAACATAATTGGTGACAATTACGATAGCTGACTTTATCAAATAAAGAAACAATGTTCTGGGGACTTGTCTGAAAACAAAAATTCACAAACTGCTCAATTTTAGTAACTACTTTGGTTACTATTTGATTTGATTTTATACTTAGATCCAAAACCTAAAAAAAAGTAACCTTTGAGTTACTTTTACAGTTTCTGTTGTATAAGAATGAATTTACTTTTTCATTCCCTGTACAACAATTGCTAGTCTATTACAGTAAAATACAAGTTTTACTTTGCATAGTAAAGAAAGAAAATCCAGTACTGGAAAAAAATTATATAGATTTTACTCAAGTTCTGTTGTATTAGGAATGTTTGGATGTTCCACCCATATACCAAAATGCCTAAATAAAAGCGCTTAAAGAGAATAAACTTTCATTAAGCTGAAAATGGAATCTCTAGTAAAACTCACTTGAAAATATTAACAAAATGCATGTGGACCACAGATGAAACTGCTTCACTCAAAAGAGAAAAGAATAAAATGTAGGCTTCAGGAGGAGGAAATAACGAATAGATATTTTCATAAGACGTAAACTAACACTGCATCTTCACAGCATTATATCCTTTTTCAGATTTCCCTTTGAGGGACTGTTGCAGAAACATTAGGCAACATAAAATAATTCTACTACATGAAAAGTGATCATATAAAGTTGGACAAAAAACACTTACACTAACTCAAACAAGTATTTTTAAACAATTCTACCGTTGCCTTCTTTGCTGCTGCACCAGTTTTGTGAATGCCGGGAGGAAAGGCCCTGTTTTTCTCTAATCCTGTATTTCCAAGGGCTTTTATTTCTCAGAATGCAGATGACAAAAACATTGGCTAAAAACATGTAAATAGAAAGAAAGTAGAAAGAACTAGCAGCAAAAATGATTGCACAAGAAGTGCAAGCAACTTTACCCCTGGGTTTAAAATTTAGCAAATAAAGTAAAAAGTAAGTAAAGAAAGTAAAGACTTTATTCAGAATTCATTTTCAAGTCATCCCATACATAAACAAAGTAACTTTGAGCACCATCTTCTTTAAAATTCAAGATTACATATGATTTTGAATAATAGAAAAGTTTAGACTAGAAGGGACCTGCATGTCATCTAGTCCAATCTCCCAATCAATGTACAGCTAAGCTACCAGTTAGATAACTAACAATTAGATCAGTTTGCACAGGTTTAACACGTAGTCAAGCTTTGAAAGTTTCCAAAGATAAAGGCTCAGCAGCATCCCTAAGCAATCTGTTACAATGACATTGTGAATTGTTTTTTCCTTCTATCAAACTGAAATGCCCCTTGTTGCAAGCTGTGATTATTGCTACCTTTCCTTTGTTATGTCAGGGCATCACTGAGAAGAATTTGTCTCCTTCTCTATAATCTACCTATACAACAGACTACAACCACAGATCACATATCAGAACATGTAACTTTTACAGAAAAATTTGTAAGGCAACAACTGTACACAGGTAATTATCAGCTCATGTTTGCTTGCTCAAATAATGAATGCGCTGCTCTGCAAAAAACCTCTCCTCTTACTTTGTCTATAGACTTCTTATATTTCCCATAAGAATCCTCTTACACTAATCCATACTGTTAATTTTCATAAGAACAGAAAAGTGAATTTCAACATGAAAAATAAGGAGTACTGACAATCCAGAAAATCTTAGCAGTTCTCAAGAAAGTATCCCATATACTTGGAAAAATGCCACAGAAAACATTTTCAGAGATACTAGACATTTGGGCTTTAGGGAAAAAGATTTAAATAAGCATAAAGCTTCTTCAAAGGAAAGCCTCCACAGATACTTCACTACTCAGCGTCACTATGGGCATCAATGAGGG